TTATTTTTAATCAATCTGGCTAGTGGTCTGTCTATTTTGTTGATCTTTTCAAAGAACCAGCTCTTGGATTTATTCATTTTTTGAAGAATTTTTCGTGTCTCAATCTCCTTCAGCTCAGCTCTGATCTTAGTTATTTCTTGTCTTCTGCTGGGTTTTGAGATTTTTTGATCTTGCTTCTCTAGCTCTTTCAATTTTGAGGATAGGGTGTCAATTTTGGAACTCTCCATTCTCCTCATATGGGCTCTTATTGCTATATACTTTCCTCTAGAGACTGCTTTAAATGTGTCCCAGAGGTTCTGGCACGTTGTGTCTTCGTTCTCATTGGTTTCAAAGAACTTCTTTATTTCTGACTTCATTTCATCGTTACCCAGTAAACATTCAAGAGCCAGTTGTTCAGTTTCCATGAAGCTGTGCGGTTCTGAGTCAGTTTCTGTATTCTGAGTTCTAACTTGATTGCACTATGGTCTGAGAGGCTGTTTGTTATGATTTCAGTTGTTTTGCAGTTGTTGAGCAGTGCTTTACTTCCAATTATGTGGTCAATTTTAGAGTAGGTGTGATGTGGTGCTGAGAAGAATGTGTATTCTGTGGATTAGGGTGGAGAGTTCTGTAAATGTCTATCAGGTTTGCTTGCTCCAGGTCTGAGTTCAAGCCCTGGATATCCTTGTTGATTTTCTGTCTGGTTGATCTGTCTAATATTGACAGTGGAGTGTTAACGTCTCCCACTATTATTGTGTGGGAGTCTAAGTCTCTTTGTAAGTCATTAAGAACTTGCCTTATGTATCTGGGTGCTCCTGCATTGGGTCTATATATGTTTAGGATCGTTAGCTCTTCTTGTTTTATCAATACTTTTACCATTATGTAATGGCCTTCTTTGTCTCTTTTGATCTTTGTTGCTTTAAAGTCTATTTTATCAGAGATGAGAATTGCAACTCCTGCTGTTTTTTTGCTCTCCATTTTCTTGGTAAATCTTCCTCCTTTATTTTGAGCCTTTGTGTATCCTTGCATGTGAGATGGGTTTCCTGGATACAGCACACTGATGGGTTTTGGATTTTTATCCAATTTGCCAGTCTGTGTCTTTTCATTGGTGCATTTAGTCCATTTACATGTAAGGTTAATATTGTTATGTGTGAATTTGATACTGCCATTTTGATGCTAAGTGGCTGTTTTGCCTGTTAGTTGTTGTAGATTCTTCATTATGTTGATGCTCTTTAGCATTTAGTGTGATTTTTGAATGGCTGGTACTGGTTGTTCCTTTCTATGTGTAGTGCCTCTTTCAGGAGCTCTTGTAAAGCAGGCCTGGTGGTGACAAAATCTCTGAGTACTTGCTTGTTCGCAAAGGATTTTATTCTTCCTTTACTTCTGAAGCTCAGTTTGGCTGGATATGAAATTCTGGGTTGAAAGTTCTTTTCTTTAAGAATGTTGAATATTGGCCCCCACTCTCTTCTGGCTTGTAGTGTTTCTGCCGAGAGATCTTGTGAGTCTGATGGGCTTCCCTTTGTGGGTAACTCAACCTTTCTCTCTGGCTGCCCTTAGTGTTTTCTCCTTTATTTCAACCTTGTTGAATCTGACGATTATGTGCCTTGGCGTTGCTCTTCTTGCAGAATATCTTTGTGGTGTTCTCTGTATTTCCTGCATTTGAGTGTTGGCCTGTCTTGCTAGGAGGGGGAAGTTTTCCTGGATGATGTCCTGAAGAGTATTTTCCAGCTTGGATTCATTCTCTTCGTCCCCTTCTGGTACACCTATCAAACGTAGGTTAGGTCTGTTAACATAGTCCCACATTTCTTGGAGACTTTGTTCATTCCTTTTTGCGCTGTTTTCTCTAATCTTGGTTTCTCGTTTAATTTCATTGAGTTGGTCTTCGACTTCAGATAATCTTTCTTCTGCTTAGTCAATTCGGCTATTGAAACTTGTGCATGCCGGCAAAAGAAACAGTCACTAGAGTGGATCGGCAACCAACAGAATGGGAAAAAATTTTTCGCAGTCTACCCATCTGACAAAGGGCTGATATCCAGAATTTACAAAGAACTCAAGCAGATTTACAGGAAATAAACAAACAAGCCCATTCAAAAGTGGGCAAAGGATATGAACAGATACTTTACTAAAGAAGACATATATGAGGCCAACAATCATATGAAAAAATGCTCATCGTCACTGGTCATCAGAGAGATGCAAATCAAAACCACATTGAGATACCATCTCACGCCAGTTAGAATGGCGATCATTAAAAAATCTGGAGACAACAGATGCTGGAGAGGATGTGGAGGAAAAGGAACACTTTTACACTGTTGGTGGGAGTGTAAATTAGTTCAACCATTGTGGAAGACGGTGTGGCGATTCCTCAAGGCCTTAGAAATAGAAATTCCATTTGACCCAGCAATCCCATTACTGGGTATATATCCAAAAGACTATAAATCGTTCTACTATAAGGACACATGTACACGAATGTTCATTGCAGCACTGTTTACAATAGACCTGGAATCAACCCAAATGCCCATTGATAATAGACTGGATTGGAAAAATGTGGCACATATACACCATGGAATATTATGCAGCAATCAGAAATCATGAGTTCGTGTCGTTTGTAGGGACATGGATGAATCTGGAAAACATCATCCTCAGCAAACTGACACAAGAACAGAAAATGAAACACCGCATATTCTCACTCATAGGTGGGTGATGAAAAATGAGAACACATGGACACAGGGAGGGGAGTACTAAACACTGGGGTCTATTGGGGGGAAAAGGGGAGGGCCAGTGGGAGGGGGAGGTGGGGAGGGATAGCCTGGGGAGAAATGCCAAATGTGGGTGAAGGGGAGAAGAAAAGCAAAGCACACTGCCATGTGTGTACCTACGCAACTTTCTTGCATGCTCTGCTCATGTACCCCAAAACCTATAATCCAATAAAAAATTAAAAAAAAAAAAAAAACTTGTGCATGCTTCGCGAAGTTCTCCTATTGTGTTTTTCAGCTCCTTTAATTCATTCATATTCCTCTCTAAATTATCCATTCTTGTTATCATTTTCTCATATCTTTTTTTAAGTTCCTTAGTTTCTTTGCATTGATTTACTATGTGTTCTTTTTGCTCACAAAATTTCTGATTATCCACCTTCTGAAGTCTATTTCCGTCATTTCGTCACAGTCATTCTCCGTCCAGCTTTGTTCCCTTGCTGGTGAGGAATTTTGGTCCTTTCTAGGAGGCGAGGTGTTCTGGTTTTGGGTGTTTTCCTCCTTTTCTCGCTGGTTTCTTCCCATCTCTGTGGGTTTATCCGCTTGTCGTCTGCGTAGTTGCTGACTTTTTGATTGGGTCTCTGAGTGGACACCCAGATTGTTGATGATGAAGTATTTCTGTTACTTGGTTTTCCTTCTACCAGCCTAGCCCCTTCACAGTACGACTGCTGAGGTCCACTCCAGGCCCTGCTTGTCTGGGGTGCACCTCTAGCAGCTGTGGCACAGTGAGGGATGCTACCCGTTTCTTTTTCTGCTATCTTTGTCCCAGGATGATGCCTGCCTAATGTCAGTCTTTTGGATATAGAGGGGTCAGGGAGCTGCTTGAGGAGACAGTCTGTTCTTTTTAGGAGCTCTATTTCTGAGCTGTGAGCTCTGTTGTTCATTCAGGGCTGTTAGGCTGCTATGTTTGATTCTGCTGCAACAGAGCTCATTTAAAAAACCCTTTTTTTCTCAAATGCTCTGTGTTGGGGGGTTCGGCTTTATTTTTCGATGTCCGTTGAGGTGTCCTGCCCAGCTAGGAGGCAGACTAGCCACTGTTTGCCTGCCTAGTCTCCGCCCTGCTGTTGTGTGATTCGCCCTGTTCCTGCAGGCTCTGCTGTGGTCTTCGCCACGCCCTGCGGTGGAGTCTCTTCGTTGTAGAGTGTTGCCTCGGCAGCGGCAGGCTGCGTCAGCAGTGGGCATGTATCTCAGTAGGGACGGGTTGCCTCGGTAATGGGAGACTGCGTCTGCAGTGGGCGTGTATCTCAGTAGGGACGGGGGTTGCCTCGGCAACGGCTGGCTGCGTCAGCAGTGGGCGTGTATCTCAGTTGGGGCGGGTTGCCTCGGTAGTGGTGGACGCCCCTCCCCCACAGAGAGTCTCGGACCGTCTGCTTGGGATAGTTTGAAATCGCGGTTTTGTTCGTCCTACTGGGTACCCCAAACGCTCTGTCCCTGCAATCCCCTGGGCTGGCCTACTGTCCAAGTCTCGTTCAGTCTCAAGTTCAGCCCTCTCAAGTCTCAGGTTGCTGGTTCAACAGGGCACCCAGACAAGCACGCCCTGTGGGGATTGCTGGGTAGCACTGGCCGCCACCGCCCTGGCTGCTGGCTTCTCCAGGCAGACTTACTACCTGGCGTCCCATGTCTTTTTTATACTTGGGAATTTCTCCGTTCTGTGGGCAACAAAGATCAGTCTGGAAATGCAACTCCGACTCACCTGTTTGCGGATTCAACGAGAACTCCAATCCTGGGTGGTTCTCACAGCGCCATCTTGAGGCCTCTCCTAGCTAGTGAACTTTTTTCATTTTCTTCCATGAGTGAAAACATAGTTTAGTTTTCTTTTGCTTCTTATGGCAATACTGGTAATTCATATTTTTCTAAGAGATTAACTATGTCACTGATATTTAAAATTTACTGATATAAAATCATATATAATAATTTTTAAATAATTTTTCTTTGTGTGTATCGTTGTTTACATTCTGAGTATTACATTTTTGTTTTCTTTTTTATGATTAGACTTGTGAAAGATTTAACTTTTCATTAATTTTTCCAGAGAATTGAATTTATCAGTGCTGTTGGGTTTTTTTTAATTGTGGTAGAGTGTTTTCTGATTCATTATTTTTAGCTTTAGTATTCATTCCTTCTTCATTTTTAAAATTTACTCTTCTGCTATAATTTTTAAGTATGGTCCAGGGACCTCTAGTGGTGCCCCAAGACATTTTCAAAAGATCCATGAGGTCAAAGCTATTTTCACAATACTAAGGCTTTACTCACCTTTTTTCACCCTTATTTCACAAGTGTACTGTGTAGTTTTCCAGAGGCTAAATGACATGTGACACTGAAGCCAACTAAATATCAAAGAAGATATGAGTATCCACCTGCAAAATTGGATGGAATCCAATTTCATCTATTAAGGTAGGTACTAACAAAGTTTGCAAAAATGTAAAACAATACCACACTTCTCACTACATTATTTTTTAATTTTGGAAAATACTGTCATTTTTACCAAAAAAATGTTACTTGTAATTATACGTATTAGTTTATTATTGCTATTTTTAATGAACTGATAATTTTAAAAAGTTCTTAGTTTGCTTTATAGTGCAGTAAAATGCTCTTCAGGCTGGGAGCAGTGGCTCACACCTGTAATCTCAACTCTTTGAAAGACTGAGGCAGGCAGATCACTTGAGGTCAGGAGTTGGAGACCAACCTGGCCACCATGGTAAAACCCCATCTCTACTAAAAAATACAAAAATTAGCCTAGCATAGTGGTGCACGTCTGTAGTCTCAGCCAGCTACTTGGGAGACTGAATTGCTTGAATCCAGGAAGTGGAGGTTGCAGTGAGTCAAGATCACACCACTGCACTTCCACCTGAGAAACAGATTGATACTCCAACTCAACAAAAGAAAAAAGCTATTGAAGATCTTTAATAATTTTAAAGAATGTATAGGGATTCTGAGACCGAAACGTTTTGAGAATCACTGTTCTATTGCATATTGAATATCCAGTTTATTTATTTTCATTATTTCTTTTTTGATAATGAACATGCTTATTTTTATAAATTTAAACAAATTCTTTTTGTCTACAGACAGCCTCTAATTATTTTTTGGATTTGAGAGATAAAATATGTATTCTCTGAAGTTTGTAAGTTAAAAACCTAAACTGGGAAAAATGTTAACCAGAAAGACATCTGATTACACCTAACTCTCTGCACCTTATTATAACAGAAACAGAGGCTCTTAGAACTCTAGTTTTACAAACTATGTAGCTCTTGAATTTACTTCAGACAATAAAGCTGTACGTGCCTTCGTTTATCAAGAGTACTCCATTGATCAAGACAATTCAAAGCTCATCTGAGATTCATCTGACATTAAAATAAAATCACTAAACTATATCAGATAGAATGTTAGGATCTGTGATTCTGGGCTAGTAATTTATTGGGAGAATCTGAAAGAAAAGTTACAGAGAAAAATTGTGTGTGTTTTTTGTGTTATGGGCATAATTATATAATACCACTTAAATCCTTATTAAAAAGAAATTACAAGTGTGATTTTCTTGTCAAAAGCGTTGACTAGGTAAAACATTATGTTAAGAAAGATAGAAATGAAGGGAGCCTTAGCAAAATAAATATTGGTAATAATGCAAATTCAAGTCTTAATAGTTGAGACTGTGGGCTGTGAGAAAGAAAAATGTGGAGACAGTTGCAGATGGATCATCTCTTAATCCAAGGAAGACTACATCAGGATTACAAATTAATTATTTAAATTGATAAATACGTTTAAAGAAGTTTTTCAACTTGTCAGTGAGCTTGCAGATTAAAATGTTTCTCAGTAGATCATATGGCATATGAGAAAATAGTAAGTGCTATCTAGAAAAATAAAGTGGAATGGAGGATAAGTAAAGGGGTCAGTTTTTAATAGGATAGTTAGGGATAATATCACTGAGAAGGTGACCTTTGAGCAAAACTTGGAGGGGAGTGAGAAAGTCACTTGCATATCTAAGGGGAAGACAACAAGTGTAAAGGTCCTGATACAGGCTCATGTCTGGTATATTTTGGGGAGTTGGAATTTATACATATGAAACTGAGGTGGAGGCAATACAAAAAAGTGTAATAAAACAAATATATACAGATATAGATTTTGAGACAGGCTCTCAATCGCTCAGGTTGAAATGCAGTGGTGTGATCATGGCTCGTTGCAGCCTGGCTGAAGTGGAATGAGCACAGTTCACTTCAGCCTTGCTGCAGTGAGCTCAGATGCCTGGACTCAGGTGATCACCCCACTTCAGCCTCTAGAGTAGCTGGAGCTATAGGCACATGCACCACACCCAGCTACTTTTCTCTTTTTGGAGAAACAGGGGGTTTCATCATGTTGCCCAGACTGATCTTGAACTTCTGAGCTCAAGCAAGCCACCGGTTTCAGCCTCCCAAAGTGCTGAAATTATAGGCGTAAGCCATCGTGCTTGGCTTAATTCTATAAATTAAATATATAAGTGCTTAGTAATGGGAATAACATTCCATGACATTGAGGTCTGTTTTTTTCACAAAATATCTTATGGGAGGTGAGTTTAGATCCAGGTTTTCCAGGAAATTATTAAATGATTTGGTAAGATGGAAGGCATTCTAGATGGAACAATGTGTTAGTTAATATAGGTTTATCTATGTTCCAGGCACATGGTAAGCCTTATACATATTTCAGCTGTTAATATTAGGGATCAAATGTAGTTTATGTGAGAAATGTATATAGACTTAGCTGGCAGGGTTTAGCTGGCAAGAAGGATTCGCTTTAGGTATAATTTGGCTACTATTACTATTAAAATAGATCTTTGAAGTTATCATTACAAGTAAAACAGAATTTCTTTTCTCTTTTTTACATTCTAGATACCAAAATAATTTCCCTTTCTCACCTTGAAATGACCTGAGCTAACAGAAGAAATTTTCCTGCATTGCTTATGAGGATCATACATAAATCAAAATGGTGAAACTATGGGAAACCTGATAAAAAGATGACTGAACCATATCAAGTACAAGTAATGATAAGATATCCTATGTGAATTTAAGGTTATAAATTATAACTTACACACTTAATAGTATGATAACCTGTTCGTTTAAATAGCGTAAGTCACTTCAATGTAATTTTAAAATGTACATAAATATATGTTGTATTTTTCTGCATAATTTATTGTACATACAAAATTATTTCTGTATTGGTGCCCTTTATTTTCCTGATCTAGGTGGTCTTCTTCCCACCTTTTTATTTTCCTAAAACTTTTTCTTCTCAGCTATGCTTTATGCACCACCATATAAACATACTCTAGCCTCCCATTTAAAAGAGAAAGTAAAATAATCTGCCTTGGTCTTATGACTCTTTTATTCCCAATCTCTTTCTCTTCAGATAAGCTTCTTGAAGAAGTAGTCTACACTAGGTGTTTTTACTTTCTTACCTCCCATTTCTCAACACAATTACTTTGGCTTTTTTCCTTAGCTTATCATTCACTAGTAACTCTAACTGTGAAATCTGTGTGATACTTTTCTATTGTTTTGACTCCACACTGCATAATGCTCGTGAGCTCTACTTCCTTGATATGTTTGTGTTCTATTTTTTCTTTCTTAATATTATACTCTATTTTCCCATGATATCAAGAACTATTTTACATATTTCATTAAACTTTCATTACAAAAGTATACATGCTTCTTATAGGGAATTTGGAAAATGTAGAAAGCTATTTGAAGATCTTACTACTCAGAGAGAGCCACTGTTAACATGGTGTGTTTTATTCCCTTTCTTGTGTGTGTGTACATCACTTATATATATACACATATATAAGCATAAACTAGATTACATATACATATCTATTATATTTATATCATAAATATAACATATATGTACATACGTACAGGTATCATATATTTTATGTAACTATATATGTTATATATTACAGTAATTTTTATTTTTTATTTTATTATTTATTTTTTTAAATTACATTTTAGGTTTTGGGATACATGTGAAGAACATGCAAGATAGTTGCATAGGTACACACGTGGCAGTGTGATTTTCTGCCTTCCTCCCCTTTACCTATATCTGGCATTTCTCCCCATGCTATCTCTCCCCAACTCCCTATCCCCCACTGTTTCTCCCCTATTCCAGCCAACAGGCCCCAGTGTGTAGTGCTCCCTCCCTGTGTCCATGTGTTCTCATTGTTCAACACCCACCCATTAGTGAGAACATGCAGTATTTCATTTTCTGTTATTGTGTCAGTTTGCTGAGAATGATGTTCTCTTAAAAAATGGGAACTATATTCTGAATACAGTTTGTATTATTTTACATTTTCTTAAATATTTGCTCTTATGACTAAAAATTCATCATTCATAACTTTACAGTTATAAAGTTTTAGCAAATGATATCATAAATTATTCAGTCATTCCTTGATATTTGTTTGCCTTCTCACTGTTGCAATACTTTCTTCCCTAATTTTTAAACTCCACTTACTTGTTGCCTTCCTGTCTCTTTGTGTCTTCATCATTTTGTCCCTGCTTGCCTCTCCAGTTTCATCTCTTCCTGAGCTTTCTATGCCCCATAATAACCAAAGTGCCCTACCTGGAATTTCTAATGGTAATCAATTGTTTTCTACTTTTCATACCTCTAATTATGTTACTTCTTCTGCCTAGAATGCTCTTCCTTTCAATTATCATCAGATTGGCAAAGCCATCTTTAAGATTCAGTTCAGTGCCTACCTCTGATTTAAATCTTTCCATGTATACCCATATGCCTAGTCACTAAGGAGAATCAACTACATGCTACTCAGGACCCCATTATAGAGCATGTATAACCCAGTTATACATATCTGTTAATAGATTTGCTAACCTTACTCTACTGTGAGCTCTCTGACTGTAGGGAAGAAGTATTTTATAGTGCTTAAGAGTGCACTTCCTCTAGTCATATGAACTGAATTCAGGTTTTGGCTCTGTTTACCATTTCTTAGCTTTATGATATAGGGAAATTTATCCTTTTAAAGCCTCAGTTTACTCATCTATAAAATATGGATACTAATTGTACTTACCTTACAGGGTTGATGTGAGGATTGAAGTAGTTAATATAAGTAAAGAATTTACCTATGTTCCAGGCACATAAGTCCTATATATATTTTAGTCATTATTATTAGGAATGACGTTTGATTCATCTCTTCATTCCAGTGCCTAACATAATGTCTGGAGTAGAGAACCAGTAAATGTTTAATGAATAAAAAAATGAATTGCCCAAAATGTATATTCATCATTAAGAGAAAGGGTCTGAGAAAATAACATCATTATGAAGAAATTAAGAATTAGAAACCACATTAATGATTGCCTTTTAGGCAGAGCTGAAGTTGTAACTGTATTTTAATACCGAGAAAAACTCCATCAGATACTTTCTACCTCAAGAGATTTCTGTATTTTAACTATACTCAGAGTCAGCAATAATGCACATTTGTTCTAACATTCCCCTTTCTGATAGCATTATTTCTCAAATAGTGTCTCAGAAATTATTTCCATGTCTTATGTACCAGCCTTGTGTATTGCTATAAATAAATTAATGTAACCAGGGTATTGATGGCATTGTGCCCACTCAATTATATGTTTATCTAAAGTTCTCAAATATGAATATCAAAGCCATTTAACAGTTCAGATAACAAGAATGATGTCAAAATTTTAAGGTAAAACTTGTAACATGCGATTTGTCTCATTGATTTGACAAATGTGTTGTGGGATCACTCTTTAAGGCACCATGCTAAATACTATGGAAGAATCAAATATAAATAAGATTTGGCCTGTGTCCTCAGAGCTTCCTTCACACAGTAATTTAGTAGCACATTTAGTACTCCCATGGATCTGGTGGCTGTCTCTTCTTTAGATCACCAGTATTAGCAGATTTGACAACTGAATCATTATTAATAATTAAAAATTAAATGTTATTTTCTATCACCCTAAATGATCACAGATAATATGTTATATACCATCTGTATACATAAAAGTGACAGATATGTATATGCTTTTACTCTTTTTTTCTAGACCTGTTTGGAGGTTGCTGACAGTTCAGGCATGGTGTCGGTGATTATGTGGAATGCCCCGTGTCCTGAGTGGTTTAAAATTTTGCGAGTTGGTTTAGTTTTTCTGCTTCAAGATTATTCTGTTAAAAAGAATTATCCATTTAGAATACAGCCTGTCCCCATGGATCCACAGATCAAACTAATTTCTACAATGAGTTAAGTATTCAATAAATTTGTTGTCTTATGGCTATTTTATTTATATAAATTTGCAATATACCATATTAGATTAGAAAAAAGGCCATAAAAATTACTGAAACTGTTAGAACCTAACGAAGCTTTAAATTTATTTGTTCATAGAATTTTCAAGCAATCACATAACCTAATAAATATACCTGTTTATTATTTCATTATTAAAAAAAATTATCTGAGATATTTATTGTTGATTGAAGAATGAGCTCCACTTGGGTTGTACTTATTTTGTTTTCTTTTACTTTTGGTCACCTAATACTAACTTAACAATGAATATATTTTGCATTTACTACTAGTTTCTATCTCAAAAGGACTTCCGTTAACTTTTGTATGGAAATAATTTCAAACTTACATAAACGTTAAAAGAATGGTAGAGAGATCTCTCATATACCCGTTATCCATATTCAACAATTACTAACATTTACTTTTGCTTTATCATTGTATCTCTCTCTTCACATATATACATATCTATACACACACACGCACACACACACACACCCCCATACACACACCATACATACACACGTATGTATATATATTATTCCCTGTGATCCAGTAAGAGAAAGTAGCAGCCATCATACATACCCCTTTAAGCCTAAACACTTCACTAGTATTTCAGTGTATATTTTCTAATAAGAAGAGTATTCTATTACATAATCTGAGTACAATTACCAAAATCAGGAAATTTAAAATTGATACAATACTAATATCTAACCTATAATCAGTATTCAAATTTTGCCAATTTCTGCAATCTTAAAAGGGCTTTTTCTAATTAGTACTGATATCTTGACATCTTAAATATTTTGAACCATTAAAATTAAAGTATTAAATAATTGTTTTTAGATATGAACATGATTTTATTCATTTTCATTTTTAAGAATTATAGATTACATTGCTTCAGTTTAAATACTGTTTTTGGTTTATAGTAGCTTTATTCTGAACCTGAATTTCTGTGTATTCTAAATTTCTCAGCTAATGCACTCAGCTTAATTACTTAGAGAATATTCAGATAAAGGTATCAATTGTTGATTGTTTTCTTAAAATATGTGTTAATTTGCAAAAATCTTATATAATTATTATTAAAATCTTAAGCATTTTGTAGACATTGGTCAAATCTCCCTAAATGAAGAAGTTATTACCTAGATAGTCTGGTACACATAGTCTATTATCTCATTAGTTTTTGCTATAGAAATGTGAGGAACTGAACTGATAGAGATATTGTGATTTATTAAGAAAACACAATAAAAGATGGTGAGAGGATGCTAATTTACAACATGCCACCTCTGCTATATAGAATTGTAGGACCAGATTTTCATCATGAAAACTCTCTAAGGTATGAGAAACAATTTATTCTTTCAAGTAAGTAACTGAAGATACAGAAATTATTTTTTAAATGATAGCCTTGGTGAGAATATATTTACAATGTACATTTTGCTATTTAAAAACAGTTTACTTCTTATTAATGTTATCAGCAGTCTCTATTTTCTTCCTCATATTTTTGATATGTAACAGGACTTTGCCTTATTTTTCAGAAAACAATAGACTAACTATGTAAAGCACTAAGTAGTAAATATTTTGACTTTCCAGGCTATATGGTCTCTGTTTCAACTTCTCAGCTCTGTCTTTGTAGACTGAAGGCAGCCATATGTATGTAAAGGAATGGCTATGGCAATATTCCAATAAACATTTATTTACAAAAAGAGGTAGTCATCTACAGCCTGTAGTTTGCCTAGACTACATGTATCAGTAGATTGCAACTCTGGCTGTATACTGGAATCATTTGGGGAGTTTTAAAGAACCACTGATGCCCCATACTCAAAGATTCTGATGTAATTACTCTGAGAATGGGACCAAGGCATTGCTATGGGTTTAAAATTTTCCAGCTGATCCCAAAGGTATAGCCAAGGTTGGGGAGCTATGCCTTTATGATTTTTAAAAATTACCTATATAAAACTAATGAGTTTTTTATTTAGCATTTTCTTCATTTTTAATTGGCAAATAATAATTAAACATATTTATAGGGTCTAGTGTAACATTTTGATCTATGTAATATACATCATAGAAAAACTCAATCAAATATCCATCACCTTACTAACTTACCACTTTTCTGTGGTGAGAACATTAAAAATCTACTAGTCATTTGAAATATATAATACATTATTATTAACTGTACTCACCATCCAAGGTGATAGATTCCTAAGACTTATTCCTTTAATTTTACTAAATTGTACCCTTTGATCAAGATCTAGCTTTTTCCTATCACTGTCCACTTGAGCCACCCTCCCCACCCCACCTCTGGTAACCTCCTTTTTACTCTCTGTTTCTATGAGATTGACTTTTTTAGATTCTTGAAGAATGTTATGCCAATTGAAATAAGCCAGGCACAGAAAGACAAATACTAAGATCTAACTCATAAGTGGAATCTAAAAAGCTGATCCTATAGAAACAGAGTAGAAAGGTGACTGTCTTATTTATTTATTATTTATTTATTTATTTATTATTTATTTATTTATTGAGACAGAGTCTTGCTGTATCACCCAAACTTAAAGTGCAGTGGTACAATCACTGCAACCTCCAGCTCCTGGGTTCCAGCGATTCTCCTGCCTCAGCCTCTCAGGTAACTGGAATTACAGGCACACACAACCATGCCCAGCTAAGTTTTATATTTTTGGGAGAGACAGGGCTTCACCATTTTGGCCAGGCTGGGCTTGATCTCCTCACCTCAAGTACTCTACCTGCTTTGGCCTCTCAAAATGCTAGAATTACAGGCATGAGCCACCACGCGAGGCCAGAACATGATTAAGTATCTTTTAATGAAAAAAAAGGACAGTTCTATAAATCACGTTAGACACAAAAGATGCAAAAAGTCAGTAATATACAGTTCTACTTTTAAAAGTTAGTCTAATGAGATCACACCTATGTAAGATAAAAAAATTATAGTAAAATAAAAGACTAATGACAGTAAACCATATTAAAAATTAATAATGTAACAAAGTAATAATGTAAAAAAAGGAAAAAGAAATGAATAAAAATGTAATTGAAGAAAGAATGAACAGTGAAGTAGGGAAAATGTGCTGCATGGGAGAAAGTGTTAAGCAACGATTAGGAAAAATACCAGTGTAACCGGGCACAGTGGCTCATGCCTGTAATCCCAGCACTTTAGGAGGCCGAGGTGGGTGGACCACAAGGTCAATAGATCAAGTCAATCCTTGTCAACATGGTGCAACCCCGTCTCTACTTAAAATACAAAATATTTGCTGGGCATGGTGGTGCGTGCCTGTAATCCCAGCTACTCAGGAGGCTGAGGTAGAAGAATTGCCTGAACCCAAGAGGTGGAGGTTGTGGTGAGCCGAGATCATGCCATTGCACTCCAGCCTGGGCAACAAGAGCGAAACTCTATCTCAAAAGAAGGGGGGAGAGGTAACCAGTGTGAGAAGGAAGGTATTGGGAAGTAAGCACTTTTCAGACAGAGGCCACAGCCCATGCAAAGTCCCTGGGGCAGGACTGCTTCTGGTGGATTGCAGGAAAAGCAAGGAGGTCCCTGTGGCTTGAGGAGAATAAGGAGTGGGAGAGAGGGAGGAGGTGAGGAGAACAGGTTGGGCAGGGCCTGCGAGCCTTGAGAAGGTGGGAGATGTTAAGCAATATATCTTTAATATAAGTGTTGTTGGAAATCAAGAAGCAGGAAATAAAGAGTCCAATTTGAGTTTTTGGGTTTTTGAGATGGGGTCTCACTCTGCAACCCAGGTGGGAGTGCAGTGGCATGATCTCAGCTCACTGCAACCTCTGCCTCCCAGACTCAAGTGACTCTTGTGGCTCAGCCTACTGAGTAGCTGGTATTCCAGGCACCAGCCACAATGCCTGGCTAATTTTTGTAATTATAGTAGAGACAGGATTTCACCATAATGGCCAGGCTGGCCTGGAACTACAGACCTCTAGTGGATCAACCTGCCTCATCCTCTAATTCACATTTTAATAAAAAGATATTGGTTGGGGTTTGTGGCTCACACCTGTAATTCCAGCACTTTGGGAGGCCGAGGCAAGTGGATCACCTGAGGTTGGGAGTTTGAGACCAGACCAGCTTGTGGCTCAGCCTACTGAGTAGCTGGTATTCCAGGCACCAGCCACAATGCCTGGCTAATTTTTGTAATTATAGTAGAGACAGGATTTCACCATAATGGCCAGGCTGGCCTGGAACTACAGACCTCTAGTGGATCAACCTGCCTCATCCTCTAATTCACATTTTAATAAAAAGATATTGGTTGGGGTTTGTGGCTCACACCCTGTAATTCCAGCACTTTGGGAGGCCGAGGCAAGTGGATCACCTGAGGTTGGGAGTTTGAGACCAGATTGCACCAAACTGGAGAAATCCTGTTTCTACTAAATACACAAAATTAGCTGGGTATGGTGGCCCATGCCTGAAATCCCAGCAATTTGGAAGGCTTAGGCAGCAAGATCGCTTGAACCTAGGAGGCAGAGGCCGCAGTGAGCCAATATCCTGCCACTGAACTTGAACCTGGGCAATGAGAGTAAAACTCTGTCTGAAAACAAGAAATATAACAAAAACAAACAAACAAAAAAAAAAACCTGGGCATGGTGACAGGCACCTGTGGTCCCAGTTACTCAGAAGACTGAGGCAGCCGAATCACTTGAACCTGGAAGGTGAAGGTTTCAGTTGGGTGAAACCACCCACTGCTCTCCTGCCTGGGAGACAGCAATATTTGTCTCAAACAAAATGAAAAGCAAAACAAAAGCAAACACTTCTGGCTCATGTGATCCTCCTACCTTAGCCTGTGAAATTGCTGGGATTATAAACATGGGCCACCATGCCCAGCCTGGGCCATGCCCCCTGGCCACATCTTAATGGAAAGGGGTAACTAGTGTGAGAAGGAAGGTATTTGGGGGTAAGCTCTTTCCGGACAGAGGACACAGCCCATGCAAAGGCCCCTGGGGCAGGAGCGTGTGGCATATTGGAGGAACAGCCAGGAGGTTCGTGTGGCTTGAGCAGAGTGAGGAGTGAACAAAAGGGAGCAGGGAAGAAGAATGGGTTGAGCAGGGCCTGTGGGCCTTGGGGAAGTGGGGGAAGTTTAGAAGTTTATCTTTTTTTTTTTTTTAATTTTTTATTGGATTTTAGGTTTTGGGGTACATGAGCAGAGCATGCAAGACAGTTGCGTAGGTACACACAAGGTAGTGTGCTTTGCTTTCCTTCTCCCCTTCACCCACATTTGGCATTTCTCCCCAGGCTATCCCCCCACCTCCCCTCCCACTGGCCCTCCCCTTTTTTCCCCCAATAGACCCCAGGGTTAGTAGTACTCCCCTTTCTGTGTCCATGTGTTCTCATTTTTTTCATCACCCGCCTATGAGTGAGAATATGCGTGTGTTTTCATTTTCTGTTCTTGTGTCAGTTTGCTGAGGATGATGTTCTCCAGATTCATCCATGTCCCTACAAACGACACAAACTCATCATTTCTGATTGCTGCATATATTCCATGGTGTATATTTGCCACATTTTTCCAATCCAGTCTATTATCAATGGGGGCATTTGGGTTGATTCCAGGGTCTTTGCTATTGTAAACAGTGCTGCAATGAACATTCATGTACATGTGTCCTTATAGTAGAACGATTTTAGTCTTTTGGATATATACCCAGTATGGGATTGCTGGGTCAAATGGAATTTCTATTTCTAAGGCCTTGAGAAATCGCCACACTGTCTTCCACAATGGTTGAACTAATTTACACTCCCACCAACAGTGTAAAAGTGTTCCGGTTTTCTCCCCATCTCTCTCCAGCATCTGTTGTCTCCAGATTTTTTAATGATCGCCATTCTAACTGGCGTGAGATGGTATCTCAATGGTGGTTTTTGATTTGTATCTCTCTGATGACCAGTGATGATGAGCATTTTTTTTCATATGACTGTTGGCCTCATATATGTCTTCTTTCGTAAAGTATCTGTTCATATCCTTTGCCCACTTTTGATTGGGATTGTTTTTTTTTTTTCCTGTAAATCTGTTTGAGTTCTTTGTAAATTCTGGATATCAGCCCTTTGTCAGATGGGTAGACTGCGAAAATTTTTTCCATTCTGTTGGTTGCCGATCCGTACTCTAGTGACTGTTTCTTTTGCCGTGCAGAAGCTGTGGAGTTTGATTAGGTCCCATTTGTCTATTTTTTGGCTTTTGTTACGAATGCTTTTGGTGTTTTGTTCATAAAGTCTTGCCTACTCCTATGTATGGATCCTGGATAGTTTTGCCTAGATTTCCTTCTAGGGTTTTCATGGTGCCAGGTCTTATGTTTAAGTCTTTATCCATCTGGAGTTAATTTTAGTGTAAGGTGTCAAGG